TCATTGTGCCTTGTCCTTGTGCTCCCCCTCCCCTCCTTGCACCAGTGCCTCCAAGCGTTCCACGCGACGGAGGGGCCGGCTCTGCGGTGCTGCTACAGACATCGCTTCATCAAGAGCGTGACGATGACTTCGCGGAGCCCCGTGTAGACGCCGTCATGAGGGCGGAGCGGGTAGGATTGGCCCGGAAAGCGGCCGCCACAGTCACCGCTGCCGCTACCGCACAGAAGCGCGCCGCCGCCGCCGAAGCCACCGCCGCCACCGCTGCCGCAGCCAAAATGCTGGATGTATGTAGGCTTCAGAAGCTTTCCACGCCGATTTCGGTGCTGCGAAACAAACGAAACGCGACATACAAACACATTCGGCGCACGATCATCCAAGGTTGGTTGCGGGTCGACACCCGACCGTGAATCGTTCGTTGAAAGTATATGAACTGAGAGGGCGTTTCGCGTGCTAATATGCATGTGGCCACCGAAACAAGCCCTTGCATCAACGTCCCCGTGTGCTGTGCGAAACCTAAGCTACAGTACAGCATGCCAGAACGCACGGGTTTGAGACGTGCTAACCTGTATAGGGTTCGATGCGGGAGACATCAAATCAAGAACACACAACTTACGACGGGGGCGAGCATGTCTTCACACAACACCACTTCAAACCTCTTGTTAGCTCGATCCAAAAACATGTTGGACGCAAGTACCTACAGCAGACCTCGATCATGAGAAATCTCGCTGTGATCAATACGGTATCATTTGGTGTATGCGTTCATAGCGACGCCAACAAATAGCAACGTGCAAGAAAAGCACGTTGTTGTAGTAGGCCAACAAATACCGTGTATGTTGTGCGCGATTCTCTCGTTCCTTCGGCAGGCTCTGGCCGTGTTCGGCACCAGACTGGCGAACGAGTTCGAGGGCGGCACCCCCCACCCTACCCTACAATATACCCCCACCCTTCCCTGCCCGTGTTTCTCTTACCCGGTCTTCGCGGGATCTTCCCCCCAAACATGGTC